TAGGCCAAGGAGGCCACTTTGTCTTGTTGCCCCAGAGGAAGATCAGACTAAAACACGTTATATGCAGGCACTTCGCTTGTTGACCACATGATGGGGGAACCATCACGAGTGTTGCTCCAGAGACAGAAATCTTCATTCCTGTTGGATATGCCCAGCAGATGGCTCTTTCCAACCACACAACATTTATTCAACTGCTAACTCCACACCACATAGCACAAGATCAGCATTTTCAAGTCTTTTATTCCTCTTATGAAGAATTCAAGTGGCATATGGGATGATCACTAAAATGTAATACGATGCAAAAAGCATTGCTTTTCACAGTACAAATAATTTAGCTGGGATTAACACACTTTCTGATTAACAAATAGTTACCAGTAGTACACATACATAAGCGGAGTTGTATTTATTGGACTACACTCACATCTCAGTTCTGCTTGAGCAAATCTGAAATAGCTCAGCTGTTGCCTATGGAGATACTGCAGGTGGAAATGACAGGGGAATTTGGCCCATTGTTAAAATAGCTTCATGTAGAAAAAATGTAGAAAAATTCAGCTTTGACCAGGTTCATTCATTATGGCCTAAATGGTCTCTAAATTGCACCTTCTTGAGCCAGGGAAGTTACACAGATGCAAATATGCGAACACAAAAGCTGGTCTTATTCAAGCTACTTGGTCCAAAGGAACCATTTTACATTATATTAATATGGACATATTTCTTTATAGTGAATGTTTATATATGCATAAATTAAAGATGCACTTAGATCTCTGAGACACYTACTCCAAAGCTTCTTGCATTATTTGAAAGCTGAGACTGATTCAGACTTCTGTGGTTCAGTCATTATCTCTGTAATAGGCTTAGACAGAAATTACAAACCTGAATTGCCCAAAGCACAAAGGAACTTTTATGGACTTAATTCTATAACATGTCTTAAACATATGCCTCTGTTATATATATATATATATATATATATATATATATATATATATGAATCTTTGAAGTTTAGATCCTGTTACAGACTTTGTAAATCTGACTTAGAATATCTGAAAATTATGTTTTATGCAAGCGTTTTTTTTTTTTTTGGTATAGAAGCTTCAAAATTGACTGAATTGGAAAAAAAAAACCAAAATACAGAGATTTCTTCTGATTCATAGAACCTTAAGCCTACAAAGCTAGAGCTTGTCATGGTTTCATATTTTTTATTAAAAAAAAACTTTTTAAAATTTGCTGCTATTCCTGCTGAAAGATCAGGTCATAATTTGAAAGAGTAAAATAAAATACAAAAGAAAAGTATCCTAAACATGTGCTTCTAAAAACTTCAGGGCAATGGAAAGTCATATCTTCCCTAATAATTTCCCTCCATTCTGTTAATTTTGGTCTTTCTTCTCTCAGTCATCCAACTTGATTACTGTTGAGGTACTCCTCACTTCCTAGCTGTTCTAAACCTTTCCCATTTCCAAGAGCTACATCACTTTTCCAGGACACACTAGCTGGTGCTAAGGGAGAAATATGAAAGCATAGATTAAGCTTGAAGCTTAATTGTATGCTGTATATTCAGCTGGCTAGTGAAAATTGATCAAAAATTCTTAGGCAAACGAAGACTTATCAGCTACAAAGTGCCATATATATTCTTTCCTATTAACCTTTTCATATTTCCGTTTTGAATTGGGGAAGGCTTGTAAACTGAAATAGCTATACTGTAGTCAAAAGGTAATTTGCCAGTAAGTTACTCCTGCTTTTATCCCTTTTGGGATGAAGTCAGCACCAACATCTGTAAACCTACAGCACTAATTTCAATGTGCTCCACGGGATTCAGGGCATCCTGGGATCTCCTCAAGCCTTGCTCTGCTGGCTACAATGAACTGAGGTGTTGGGGCCAGGTGAGGTGTGCCCAGCAGTGCTGGTCTACTCTCTGAGAAAGGTGTTGGCACCGGGAATAGTAATCCAGCACAACTTCTTTAATATTCCAATATGTATTTCCCTTGGTTCTACTGCAGTTTATCCCCAAAATTGAAAATCCTACTCATAGTTGATACTTGGTAAGTGCATAAAACATGAGAAGAACTGAGCTGAAGATGGTTTRGCTCAGGTTCTTCTCTCCTTAGTGCCACAAGCAAGCTCCTGGCACATCTCCATTTGCAGAAAGCTGAGGAAGAAGAGTTGCTGCCGTTCTTAGCAAGCCTGGCAGGAAAGGGACCTGGTGGAAACTAGGGGACTAACATGAGGCTCATAGGTTGTCCCTTAAACACAAATAAGCAACCTGATGTTAAAGAAGCACCATTCATGTCCTATAGTTGGAACTCAGGGCCTAACTATTTCCAGGAATGGAAACACTCACATGATTTCCTACCTGTTTCACAGATCAGTGAGAACAGGGACATGGACAAGACCTAACCCTAACCCTTTATATATGTTTCCAAATTAAAAATAAAGGGCAAAAAGGGAAAAAACAGAACTACTAATTAAGTGTTAAACATGAAAGTGAACTTCTAGACTGGATTTTGCAGTTGTTGCAAGGATCTTCATCAGGAACCTCCTGTCTCGACCTCAGGGCTCGACTCCGCATTTCCCCCCGGCACATGGACGTGGCGTGGCTCCGAGTGCCCTCTTGTCCACATTTGCCGTAAACACGGCGAACACCTGTTTGCTCTGACTCACCCACTCCTCATGCAGGCGCTCCCTTTTTTTGACAGCAGACCTCACTCAGGTAGTATGCACTGCTAATATTTTTTCAGGACCGTGTAATAACATGCCTTCTATCCAATTCCTAACATCCTTCAGCCAGCTCAGCCAGTGGGCTAGCTGCTTAGGATTCAGTGATTTATATAAGTGCAATTAGCTTGCAGTGCATCACGGCACTGTTATGCTGGTGCAAATGCCCCGAGAGGGAGTACCTCACCGGTGAATCAGACCCTTCACTTTTTGCAGACGTACAAAGAGCAGATCTCCAGCCAGCGAAAAGTTGCGTGGCTCCACGTGTTTCAACACACAAACTCCAATCAGCTCGGGGGCTGAATCACAGCTCTTGTAACAGACTATTTAGATAGAGGCTAATGCCTCACATCCTGAAATGCAATGCTTTCCCAGAGTCGCTGGGGGTCAGGAGCAGATGGAAGAGCAGAGCGGAGCCAGCACTGCAAATGCCCCATGTTAAAAAAAAAAAAAAAAAAAGTCCTGAGGATTTCTTCTTTTCTGCAGTTACTGAATGTAATGGTTGTTGCTCAGTTAGCTCCCTTTGGAGGAGACCTGACGCCACCCAAGCCTCGAGCAGGTACTTGGCCACTTTTGTTGCCACTTTCCCTTTCCTGCTGTAGCTTGGGTGTGTTCCCCACAGCCTGGAAAGCCCTGGGACACCTTTCTCTGCGAAGCACCTGGGRCAGCCACCAAATAGCTGAATCTTTTTCATCGCTTCTCAAAAATGGCCAACTTTCCCTGCACTTGTTTTGGCATCCCCAAGATTAAGAAGTCACGCAGCTTGACAAAGCACTTTACTCTTACGTGTCTTGACAGAACCCGGAGGATTTTTTTCATGTCTCCGTTCCAATGCCTGCTGCAAAAAAAAAAAAAAAAATGCAAAAAAATGCTGGGGTGGTCTCTCTAAAACACCCTCCATGCCTCCTCAGGACAGAGCCCTTGCTGCTCCCGGCATACCAGTATGTGCCCAGGCAGGTGTAGTTTAAACACAAGTGGGAGAGGGGGTGGAAGAGAGGGGAAGACACACCAAAAGTCAGTCAGATCCATGTTAGGGATTTGCCAGCATTCAGCTGTCCACATTTTCAAAACACAAATGTTTTGCAATGAAAAACAACATGTCTGCGACTAAACGGCTCCTCTAAATCAGTCTAGATAAGGAGAAAATTCTGTGTTGTATTTAAGMGACTTTCATCCTGAACAAAATACATGCTGTAGATTATACCTTCATAGGAAGCTGAAAGGTCCTAAATATACTGATAGAGAAGTATGCTTAAGAGACATTTGCATTATCCTGTCTATAATTTTAGGCTTTTTGCTTATCTGTGTACCCTTTAACTGCTCTGGATAATTAGGAAAATTTCCTTGGCGCTGTTGTAAAAGCATAGGCAAAAGAGTGACATAGCTACTCCCAAGGAAGGAAATGTCAATGCTTTGCATTCTGCACATTTTTAGAATAAAAAGAAAAGAAAGTATTCTTCATATAAACATTTTGAAGCAGTATGCACACAGAGCATACAAAACCTATCGCTGTGCTCAGAAATGCAGCCTTTTCACCAGCTGCTTGAACTCTTTCACAGTATTTTGCTGGCCCTTCTGTCCTGAAGTGCACAGGTTAGGGAGGCATTAGGCTGGTCTCCAGCTCTTTCTAAATGCAACTTTTTTTTTTTTTTTCAAATGCAGCTGCCAAATCTGACAGGCGCGCTGTCTATTCAAAGGCTCCCATTAGCCCTGCTGGCTAACTTGCTATCTTGTAATGTTCTTCCCCTTCTGCCCTTAATGAACAGTTTGTTCCATTGTAATTCTTAAATCAAACATCTGGAAACCAGACTTTTTTTTTTTTTTTTTTTTTTTTACAAAAGGAGGTTTTAGTGCACATGACTTCTCGAGGTCTCTGTCAGGAAGCAAATGAAAAAAAAAAAAAAAAAAAGAACAGGCAGTTGAGCTGAATCAGTAAACTGACCTTTTCTTTTTTAAGCAGTTTAACCAACGCATTTTTTCTAGAGTGAAATGCTAAGGCACAACACAGACCCACTTGCAGGCGGGTAATGCGCTCTGACAACAGCCTGCTCCTCTGTTCACAGCTGTCTCCAGCGGGAGGAGCTGAAACCTGAACCAAACGCTGCTCCCAGGGATCGGCGCCGTCCTGCAAGAGAGCGAGCGGCAAGAAAGCCCTCCCTGCAAAACCAGCCCGCTTAGAAAAGTGCTTGAGAACATCCTCGAGTGATTGGAGGAGCAGCAAAGCCTTCCCCCCTGCACCTGACGGGTGGGTATTTACAGCACTTTTCCCGGCGCCTCCGCACTGCCGCTCCGCAGCGCGGGTGCCCGCACGGCGCAGCGCAGCGCAGCGCAGCGCAGCGCGGGCCATGCTGTAGGCACCGATGCTCTCGCAGTGATAGCGCGAGCCGCACACGAGCCGCGCGCCGCTACGCCGAGCCACGCGGAGCTCCTGCGAGGAGGAGAAAGCCTGCCTTCAAAATGCCACGCTCCTTCCTGGTCAAGAAACATTTCAATTCCTCCAAGAAGCCCAACTACAGCGAGCTGGACACTCACACAGGTAACAGGAGGGAACCGGGAGCCCTCGCGTTCCCGCTGGGGCTCGGGGGTTCCTTGCGTGGCACTAAGACTGGGATGACTTTTTGGCTTCCAGGCTTTGGGGAATGGGTTAGCTCACTCTTTTTTTTTCCGTTTGCTTGCAAGGAGGCAGTGTGAAGAAGTATGTCAAGGCAGTGCAGAATGAATCATGAAGTTTCCTCATTCACTTGAACTCAGTTATTTTAGAAGGATTTGGGGGGTTTTCTGCTCTCCATGTGCTAGCAATGGAATTTAAGCTTTTCTCAAAATCCATCAGGAAGTTTGGGGTTTTTGTGTACCAGGCTGCATAAATTTAGAAACATCATGCTGCCTTGAAAAGAGGTTCTAAATGCAGTTTCTCTGTTGAAGGCACTGTCTCTACATGTCAGTATATATGTAGCAAACATTATTTCCTTAATCTTCCTTGTGCCTGGATGACCACAATCAGTATTTGACTTAAACGCTTTGTAGCCCATATAGTACTGTTTTTATTGCCTTTTGAAACACTTTCCATTTCTCTTACCTTAAGATTTTCTTCTTTCTCCAGTGATTATATCTCCCTACCTGTATGAAAGCTATCCAGTCCCTATCATACCACAGCCAGAGATCCTGAGCTCAGTAGCTTACAACCCCATTACTGTGTGGACTACAACCGGGCTGCTACCATCTCCATTACCCAGTGACCTCTCTCCGCTCTCTGGATACCCCTCATCTTTGGGAAGAGTCAGCCCACCTCCACCTTCCGACACCTCCTCCAAAGATCACAGTGGTTCAGAAAGCCCCATTAGCGATGAAGAAGAGAGAATCCAGTCCAAGCTTTCAGATCCCCATGCCATCGAGGCTGAGAAGTTTCAGTGCAGTTTATGCAACAAGACCTATTCAACTTTCTCTGGGTTGGCCAAACATAAGCAGCTGCACTGTGATGCCCARTCTAGGAAATCATTCAGTTGCAAGTACTGTGACAAGGAGTATGTCAGCCTGGGAGCACTTAAGATGCACATCAGGACCCACACACTACCTTGTGTCTGCAAGATCTGTGGCAAGGCTTTCTCTAGACCCTGGCTGCTCCAAGGACACATCAGAACTCACACTGGTAAGAACAGCCTTTAGAAATGCACTATGTTATTGCTAAACCATCTTTTTATGTTTTTTTTTTTTTTYCCCCACACAGGTAAAATTCAGTGTTTCCTGACTACCCTTGAAAAGCATACATACAATTGCAATGCTTCATTAAAAGGCCATTTTTTTTCTTCCTCTTTTGAGTGGGGAGGAGAGGATGTAGCAATGACTTGTAATTCGGGGCAAATTCTGGTGTAAGTCAGCATATCTCCCATGATAATTCCAAGATTAGTTTAGTCCATTGCCACTAGCTGAAGATTATGATTTATGTTTGTTTAAGTATGTTAACTTACAGGCTTTGAAAACTGCTAGCTTCCCACTGATTCTGAAATCAAGTAGCAAAACAGGCTGTGCATGAGAAGCTGATCTCTGGCTCCTTACCAATTGTCAGGTTTTGCCYACACTTTCTGAGGTCCTTAAGAATTAGAAACACATAATCAACAAAGCATTTTTTTTTCTACTGAGGCAAAAATATTATTAGAGTGTAACATTGGTTACAATGTAGTGTCTGCACAGCTATTTGCTGCCTTTCAAAGACCCTGTCCCAAGGTAATTCACATAGAGTTAAGCATATAGCAGAACAAGTTCTTCAAAAAAAGAAAATAAAAAAATGAATGTTTTAAAATGTTGGAAGGCACCCAACCTATAAGCACTGCCTGCACCTGTAGATGCAGAAGGTGTCAGCAGTTGGTCGTCAGAGACAGCACTCAGCAGCACGTTCTGCAAAGACCCAGTTCTGCAAGTACGATGGACAGTGCTGAAAGCTCTTCTATCTGACTTCACTTTTTTATTGCATACCTCCTTCCTTTTAACAAATCCTGTTTCTTTGTTTCTTAGGATAAATGGGACTTTTACCTGTCCTAAAAGCATGTTTCTTTTTTAATGCTGGATTGTGTTTTTCCTTGCTGTTTCCTTTTTAGGGGAGAAGCCGTTTTCCTGTCCTCACTGCAACAGGGCTTTTGCAGACAGATCCAATCTGAGGGCTCATCTGCAGACCCACTCGGATGTGAAGAAATACCAGTGCAAAAATTGCTCCAAAACTTTCTCCAGAATGTCTCTTCTGCACAAACATGAGGAATCTGGCTGCTGTGTAGCACACTGAGTCATGCAGTCAATGTTTACCTGGACTCATGCATTTCTCCACTCTTGTTCGAAATGATAAGTGGAAATCCAGAGGCATTTTCTCTTCTACTTTTCAACCAAAAAACAAACAAACAAAATAGTGGAAGAATTTAGAATGTCAGTAGAAATGAGCTTAAGTATTTCTGTTCAGTCACTTAATTGTGGATTTTGAAATATGGGTAAAGACACCATGCATGACATTTCAAGTAGCTGTAAAGGACAAAATATTATCAACTGTCTTTATAGATGAAGCCAAATGCATGTAGTCTCTTCTTGCTAAGAAAAGGCTGCAAAGCTAACAATACATTCCTGCCAAGCCATTTCAACCAAAGAAACAGTATTTTAAATCGAACTTTTAATAAAAATACTACCCAAGTGAATTTTGCTAGACACCATTTATCTCAGGTGCCTTAAAAAGTATTCCAAGTTTACCTTAGTAAATGTTTAATATTATTCATTGCTGTGTTTTTTATTTTATTCTGTTAAAAGTCGAGGCCTTCATTAATGATCTGAAATGCTTTAAAACTGCATAATTTAGAGAGGAAAAAGAAAATATGTAAGAGAATGTATGAAAAATTGACAGCCACAAATTAACCGCATGTGCCTTTTTTTATAAAAAAAGAAAACACAAAAAGAAAGAAAGAAAGAAAAAAAGACTATAGCTTCAGACATTCCTGGTGCATGCGTGACCATCTTTTAATATGGAATAAATCCTCTAAACTTTAATCTTTTTTTTTAAAAAACGGGAATAAGTGCAAGAGAGGGGATTCATGGGAGTTTGACAATTATTTTTTTAATGCACAAAGGAAATGCAATATGTTCAGCATTACCCCTCCAAGTGCCTTTTTTTATTGATGATTTTGTAAAGTATGTGGACATAATGTAAATATTTTTATTTTTATATGATTGAATGCTTTATGAATGAAAGTGAATTGTTGCCTATAGCAGCGTCTATAGATAACTTGAAGAAAGCGTGAAGTGAAATTTTTGTTGTTTTCTAGCCACTTTTTTACAATAAACATTTTTAAGTAAGTTTTCTGTTGTTTCTTCTAATTGAATAAAAGGACTGTTCATGATTTATAAAGCATATGGGACACAGAGAAATGTCTCTACATTATGAAATGAAGACAAAAGTGATTTTCAGATGTGACTTATTAGTTCAAAAGTACTGGGCATTAAAAAGAAACATATCCATTAAAATGTCCAACATTTAAAATCATACGGTGCATTCTTATGGAGAGTCATTTAAAAAGTGCGAGTGCTTTTTTTGTGTGTCTTCTAACAGCATGACAACATAGCAAAACACATTTTATCCTGAACATTTAAAAGAAGCATTTTTCTTGTACTGTAACAGTTAAAAGGATGCTATTAGAGCAGCCTGATTGCAATACTTTTCCTGAGACGCTGACATTAGGAACTTTGGACCTGATCCAAAGCTCATTATTGTCAGGGGAGCCTTTGGGGAGTTTAGTATTTGCACGATGCTCTTTTAGGGCAGTATTTAAGTCATAACAGAGTRTACTTGAAATGGTCACTCAGAAAGATTAAAGATCTTTTTTTTAAAGCATCATATCTATAAAAATTGTCAGTTTAATGCATTCTGACTGTGCATATCATCTAGTATATCAGAGGAAATAATTATTGGTAATAAAAAGTGGGATATTTTTCTTCAAATGGTTTGAGTAAAGATTCCAAGACCTGAACTATGTTCAAGCATTGCAACATCAACAAATTGTATCTCATAATTGCAAACTAGTACAAAATAACACCATTTTCAGATTACAAAGCTAGAAAAACGGATGAACACTCTCAGGAGTACTATATTTTCAATATGGTCTTATATTGTAAAAGAAGCAAGAGACAGTAAAATTAATATCCTAACAATTAACAATCAGATTAAAGTTGAGTACACATGAGATACAAATTTTTTGAAATAAAGATTTCATTTAAACAAAATATTGCAACAGGCTATACCAGCATTTTGTCTCTTCCAGCTGAGGCCTGCAGAGGAATGCTGGTGCCGAACTGCATTGGAATAACATAGCCAGTATGTGCATAACAAAAGTTTACTACCTTTTCCCCACAGGAAGCATTGCAGTGTGAAAAGGTCAGCTGAAATGAAGTTTTTCATCTTCTGATAAATCCTAAAATAGCCATTCTACTTTTCTTTTTCTTTCTTCCTTTTTGTTTTTTTTTTTTTTAGGAAATACCTAGAGAATTCAAAAAAGATAAACCGAAAGGTAGGCAAAGAAAATAAATAAATTAAATAAACAAACAAACAAATAAATAAATAAATAAATAAAAAGAAGAAAATTCAACTAGGATTAGTGGGAAATTGTGAAGTAACACTTATAATGAATATAAAAAGGCACCAAATACCCTTGAAAAGTTTCATGTGGTTACTCTATTGATTTACACTTCCCTGTTATTCACTTTGAAGTCCTTAGTCTCCAGCAGTTATCTGTGCAATTTTCTCTTCCCAGAATAAAGTTTACCTGTATATGAGAAAAGCTCTGGCAATAAACAGCTCTTCACACTGACAAAGTTTGCTCTCCTGTGCCTATTTACCTGATATCACAAGGCTTTTCACATTGTTTTAATTCACACTTTAAATTCACTACACCCATAGTAAATGAGTACTTGACTTATTGAAAGAGTGGAAATGCTACTGTTGTCCTTCAGGGAAATCAGATGAAAACTTCATCAAAATACAGTATGCTAAATCAAACACAAGTGGAACTGGTCTGATTTGGAGATGACAATTAAGATATGCTACTTTGCATGCCTGTAACACCTGTACTCATAAAACACAAAGATGGGAAAGGTCTAGAAACTCTTCTAACTTGTCTCTTTAATTGAAAGAGAGTGCTCTATCACAGATTCATTGCTCTCTGTCCAGTTGTAGCATAAACTTCCCAGGGAGGTGAATTTCCCCTGTGTTTTCAAGGAGACAGCTTTCTGTCAGGATGTTTCTCCAACGCATTATTGGTTTTACCTTATTACTCTAGAAATACTCTACTCTTTTGCTGCATGAGTTATTTCTCAATGTAGAGTGAATTCTGTTATGAGCTACTGGTCTATGACTACACTGATTTTTTTTAAATATGGCTGATAGGCTTTCTCCTTGCTAAATCTACCCATTGAAACTCTTACCATTGCTACATTTCTTGCAAGACATCTCTGATCTAACATCCAAGTTTTCAGTCTTCCTTAAGAAAATATTCTCCCCACACTCCTGCTGTCTTCACTGTTCTTTTCTGAAGTCTCTCACTTCTCATCTTCATTTTTGGCACCAGAGCCAAAACTGATGCTCTTAAGTGAAAATTGAAGGCTAGCCTCTCCTCTAAGGCCACTGACACGATAGTAAACTCTATTCAGTGGGATTCACAGACATAAATTCTTTACTCACTAATAAGCTCTCTAAAATTGATGGGTCCAGGAAAGGGACATTTTCCTGGCAATTGCTCCATGTATTCTCAATATATACATGCTGGTTTATATTTATATGTTTATGAATGCCCATTCTTCATGAGGGAAGGCATAGTATGTTCTAGCAATTTCAATTTACTTCCTGAATGTCCTTTCAGTGTGTGAAGAGGAGAGGAACCACCTCAGCATCTGTACACCTACAAGMTAAATGTATGACTTTCTCAGGACTAAACAGAATAAATGAGTCACCTTAGTTTCCTCTTTTCTCTTGCCTTGCATGCATTTGGGCCTGCTTTCCATCTCAGAGATTGCAGCACAAAATAGTATGTGCACAAAAGGAAGACAGAACAAACTATACGCTTATGCTTAAAGTACTGAAATAATCCTACTAACTAATATGAAGTTTAGAGAAGCATCTTCTGCACTCTCCAAAAGGTTAAAATGAGTACCTCTCAGAGTAAGGCACCATGAAAATTGTCTCCTGTATTATTATTACTATTATCTGTAATAATATATTTCCTGTTATCCTATTAATAAGTTCAGGTCCTATTACAATAAACTATATAATATCATACAACAAAGAAATAGCAAGCACCCTAAAATAAACTGTAATTTCGAGGAAGGGCAGGGAAGGGAAGAGAAGGGAGGTGAGGAGAAGGGAAGGGAAAAGGATAAAGACAAGGGGAAACCTGGTAGTTTAATTCTGATTCTGTGTGACAGGAATATTAAAGGTAGAATGTGAGAAATCAGTCTACCCAACTTGTATAAATTACAATATCAAATGACAGCTTCAATAAATTAGAATAGATCAGAGCAAGTGATATCAAAGAATAGCTGAGGTTGGAAGACACCTCTGGAGAGCATGAAGTTCAGCAATCTGTACTCAAAGCAGTGTCATCTAGAGCAGGTTGCTCAAGATCATGTCCCAGCTCCAAGGAAGAAGCCTTCACAACCTCTCTGAACAGCCTGCTCCAGTGTTCAACCGCTTTCAGAGTGAAAAAGTATTTCCTTATGTTTTAGGAGAATTTCATGTATTTTAATTTGTGCCTGTTGCCTCCAGTCCTCTCACTAGATGTTACTGAGAAGAGTCTGGCCCCAGGCTCTTTACATGCTCTCATTACATATATATAAGTAGTTCATAAAATGCCCTCAGGCTTAACAGCTCTCTCAGGCTCTTCTCATGCATGAAAGGCTCCAAAGGCTCCAAGTCCTTAATCAACTTTGTGACCATTCACTGGACTTGCTGTAGTAGGTGAATACTTTGAACTGAGGAGCCCAGAATGGGAGTTAGTACTTCTGAGCTGCTTTCACTAGTGCTGAGTAGAAGGGAAATACCAATCACTACTGAGGCAATGTGACAAGGCAATGGAAACCACACCAGGTACAACAGCAGAGCATGTCTAGTGCATACAAAAAGGATGCTTGTGTGATTTATCTATCCCTCCTTCCTGACACATTCAGTTGATCTCTACAAAATTGTCAGGAATCTTCAAGAGTGAAAAGCATAGGACTGAGTCTTCCTGTAAGGTTGAAATTTACCCTGTCCCATTGCAGAATGCAGCAGAATAAGAGTAGCCTCAGGCAAGTTACAAGAAATTATTTTCTTTTGCAGAGGTACTTATTTTTTGAGACATCCTATGCAGCTCAGCAAAATCTTTGGGGCCATGGTGCAAATAGATTTTATTGTTGCATTGGTGTCTCATCTGAGGCATAGTAGAGAGTAGAAAATTAAAAAAAAAAAAAAGGGCATGTTTTATTATTTTTTATTTACTGGTTTGATATTTGGGCTACCTTGTTCCTTTCCACCTGATACTTCAATACTTTAGTAATATTACTCAAATTAATAGTGTTTTGTGTTTTTTTTCTTCCTCTGATTCACTCAGGACTTTGATACAAAAACATAACGAAGTGTTTCTTCATGGCCTTCCTTCTCTGATTTTCCCCAAATCTCCATGAGAAAAAAGCCATTGCAAAATGCAAATTTAYCCTTCAGCTGCATGCTGTTACACCTCTCCTTTCTCTCCCTGTTATCTGGGCACTGAGTATATGCTATTTCGTTCTGCTTTATTTTTATTCTACGTGTACTACAAGAAGTTTCCCAAATGCATAAGTTAAGTAGCTGGTAGGTGGATGGTGGCTGTAATTTGAATGACATTCYTCACAAACAGGGAAGAAATGCTTTTTGATGTCTGTCATTTTGCAAACTCATTTTTGCACCATTTGGTTGGAAGAAGCCACAGGAAACCAAYAATCACAGGAATGCCAGCAGAAATCCACACCACTTCAGCCATATTTATAGTAGCCTTAATACTGCAAGCTTAGAACAGCAGCGATGCATGCAGACATTCATATGTTATCTACACATAGATAAGACCTGCAACTGACTAACCTAGCTTTTCAAATATGCAAATCTTTTCATTGCAAACTAATTCTGATTTAAAACAACCCACAAAGAGAATCTTAAGCTTTTTCCTAGTGGAACTATCCTTCTATTAAAAAAAAATGGGCTTAAACACATGGATAAGAGTATTTTCTAGCAGGACAAAGCTGTTTGAGTATTTG